ATCCCGATTGATCACGGCTCGATTGGACACCACCAATCACAGCAACCAGGTGCCTAGGAGCTTTGTAGTTTCAAGCGCTGTAAGTGGCTCGTGTCCAATTGAGCCGTGTCCAACTGGGTGCCACCCTCGGGTCTGTGCACAATCGGTTAAGTGTGGAAACGGGTCCGTATACAATCGGATCGTGCGCAATCGGATCTGTGTGCAAACGGGTCCGTGCGCAATCGGGTCCGTGTCCGAACGGGTCCGTGTTCAATCGGGTCTGTGCGCAATCGGGTCGGTGCGCAATTAGATCCTTGCGCAATCGGATCCGTGTCCGATCGGGTAGTGCGCAATCGGGTCTGTGCGCAATCGGGTCTGTGCGCGATTGGGTCCGTGTCCGATCGGGTTCGTGTCCGATCGGGTCCGTGTCCCATTTGGAATTCCTTTCGTGTCCGATTGTTAATGTGCACAGTCGGGACGCTCCCAAAATTAGTGCTAAATTAAATTCCTTAAAATTTTATGTATTATTCGTAAGAAAGATTTGGGGTGATCCCGATTGTGACCACGGCTCGATTGGACACCACCAATCACAGCGACCGGTGCTTAGGAGCTTTGTAGTCTCAAGCGCTGTGAGTGGCTCGTGTCCAATTGAGCCGTGTCCAACTGGGTGCCACCCGAAAGATTTGATATTAACAATTGGCGCCAAGTTAAATTCCATGTAATTCGGATACCAAATAAAATAAATAATATCAACTTCAATGATATGTAACATTCCTATAAAGGATTTAATATCAAAAACTGGCGCCAAGTTAAATCCCATTTCTTTATACCATCCCAAATGAATGCCAATTAAATAAATAATGAATATTAATCTAATGATATGTATTATTTGTTGATATTAAAAATTAAAGATAGTACCATTTGGATTAAGTAAATAATAAAGATAGTATCACTTGGGTTTTACTTTTTATTTTGATAGTAGAATTAAACTTGGCGCCACAGTTGTTGATATTAAAAAAAAATTTAATATCAACAACTGTGGCGCCAAGTTTAATTCTACTATCAAAATAAAAAGTAAAACCCAAGTGATACTATCTTTATTATTTACTTAATCCAAATGGTACTATCTTTAATTTTTATACAATGAAACCTAAGTACACGTGTATTTTATTGAAGAATCTTCCTATTCCAATTCAAATGATTTAAATTAATCTTAAATAAAATTATTATATCACAATTCATTCTTTTAGACATTTTCTCTTTTAACTAAAGTAATGGTTATTTAATTCTCCTTCAAAATAATATACAAAATATTATCACGAAATTGCGTTACCTTGTTCAATTTAAGTGTTATCACAAAAAATTAAAGAATCATAAAATGAAAAAATTTAATCTAAATGGAAACATTTTTCATGTAAAAACACTTGGCGATGCTAGATCTCGGTATAATAACATATTAGTAAGATTTGAATGTAATATTTAAAAAAATAAGAAAAATATCTTATTTCGATACAACGAGATGGGCCATATTGGCTCCGGTAAAATGATTGACGCGTTTTGACGAACATATTGGGTTTCTCGAATTCATGAAAAATGTGAAGATCATGTACGACACTGCTTAAAATGTTTATCGTTTTCACCTATCTACGGTAAGCCTGATGAAGGGCACTTACATATAATTCCAAAAGGAAATTTTCTATTCAAAACCATTCATATTCATCATTATGGTCCAGTAGATAACTTAGTAGTACTTAAAGAATATATTTTATTAATCGTGGATGCATTCTCTAAATTTGTTAGATTGTTTCCTACCAAAACCACTAATGTAAAGAAAGTTATTTGTTGCCTGGAATAGTTTTTCTAGAATTACAATGAACCAAAAATTACTATATCTGACCGCGGAAGTGCTTTCACTTTGCAAGAGTTTGAAGATTTCCTGAAGAACCAGGATGTTCAAAACATTAAAATCGTGGTAGGGTCGCATCAGGCTAATGGTCAGACCGAATGTATCAACAGAATCATAGCTTCCCGTATAGCTAAGCTATCGGATAACGAGGAAGTTCGACAATGGTATGAAATACTGCCTGAAGTAGAGTACGTTATCAATAATACTGTCAATTGATTCACCGGTAAGATTCCCAGTCAACTGATTTTTAGTATTGAGCAGCGAGGCCCCTGTACTGATCGAGTTAAAGACTTTTCAAAAGTCATTATAAATTCGCCCGTAATAGATCTTGAGAAAATCCGCGAACAGGCAGCTAAACGTACTCGACTTTCGTACAGCGTCAGAAAAAAGAGTATGATTGTCGACATAAAACACCTAGGAAATACGGGAAGGATGACTGAACTATGATTCGCAATTTCGAGAGTACATCCGGCGTTAATAATAAAATTAATCTGAAATGGCATTACGTGTCAAAACCATTCTGGGACAATCGTACATGCTTTGAAAGATATCTGTGAAAATTGTAGCCATTGTGGATGTTCAGTTGTTGTTTGACACTCATTTATGCCAGTCGATGTCAGTATTTTTATAAAAATGGAAAAATCGAATATCAACGATCGCCGTAACAAAAATTTACGATTTGCTGTTGGAATTAATTAACTACCCATCGCATTCACCAGATATGATCTCCAACGACTTTTTCCTGTTTCTTATATCAAACGAAAACACTGACATCGTCTGTCACAAATGACTCTCAAACAACAACTCAGCGTCCAAAATGGCTACAATTTTCACAGGTATCTTGCAAAACATGTATGATTGTAGTACCAGAATGGTTTTGACGAGTAATCCCATTTCATGTTGAGGCTCAAAACTTTTCAAACGACCCTCGTATTGCGTAAAAGTAGGAACAAAAAATTTAAATGTTGTACATAATAGGTAATCAGGATATGCGGTAGCAGCTCCCGTCAAGTATATTTTTGTAGTACATAATAATATACCATGTCATGAAAGAGACGCTATAGCGTATCCTTTACAGGAATGAACTTGCTTATATAATTATAAATTATTGTTTTGGTCAAACAAATTGATGTTATTAAAAAATGCATATATGCATAGGGGAAAAATATAGATTTTTACAACTAAAAAATGAAATAACGATCATGTCCGTAAGTGTACTTGAAGGGTAGATATGAATATGAGCACGTATTTTTCAGCTCAATTTATGTCCTTTATACATTCAGATACGTCGTCGTCGTCGTCGTCTTCGCTAAATTTTGTCCCCTTTTACTACACCTTTTTTCAACACTTTCTGCACTTTTTCTGAATCTTTTCTACAACTCTTCTGCACTTTTTTTACACTTATTTTCTGTACTTCATCTACACCTTTTCTGCACTTTTTCGACACCTTTTCTACACTTGTTCTACATCTTTTCTGAACTTCTACTGCACCTTTTCTGCACTGTTTCCACATCTCGCATCCGTCTGGCATCTCTTCCACATCTTTCATGTACATTTTCTGCACTTTTTCTACAACAGTACCATATCTCTCTCATATCTCTCCCGTATTAATTTCGCATTTCTTCTGCACCTCTCCGCATCTGAATCTTACCGTTTCCGCAACTCTTTTGCACCTTTTCCGCATCTTTTCCGCGCCACTTCTACATTTCTTTTACATCTCTTCCGCATTTGTTCTGCACTTCTTCGCATCGTTTCTGCATATCTTTCCCAATTCTTCTACTTCTCATTTGTCTGTATACATTATTTTATTTATTTACATATTTATTATTATATACAGGGTGTTAGTTAAGTACGTTCCCAAACTCAACAGAGCGATTCTTTGGTTTATTTCAAGTAAAAAAGTCCATATAAATATGTGTCCTAAACGGTTTAGTTCCTGAAATAAAATAATTTAAACGTGTAGTAATAATCTCTGTTTATTTGAAAGAAATACAACTTGAACTAGTCAAAAACTAGTCAAAAACTAGTCAAAAACAGAAAAACAAAAACAGGCTTCAGTTCTTCTAACGAAATAAAATAATTAGATGAATTGTTGAAAATGTCCACCTTGCGCCATCCCTAATAACACACTTTATCCGGGATACATCCTGAGGATGTCCTTAGGATGTTCAAAGGACGTACGGACGTCCTTTGGACGTTCTCTGGACGTCCCCTGGAGGTCTGTGTTGTTAGGGATGATATATCCATCGAGGCTTCTTCTCAAAGATTGACGTATACGCTCAAAGATACCAGGTGTGTTACTTATTGCCTCGCATAAAGCAACTATTCGATTCCTCAAATCATTCTCATTCTCAATTGGGGTGGGCATATCTGCCATTTCGAAATTGTAAACTTAGGCATGATGAAACCGATTTTGATGGATTGAAACAATTTGGCCCGAAAACGTATGTACAAGTTAACTGACCCGCAGCAACATCAGGACTGAAGTCTATTTTTGATTTTGTGACTTTGACTTTGACTTTGTCACTTTTTTTACGGTTGTGCGAATAGTAACTCACATGAAGCAACGCATATTTATGCAGAAAGATATCTCCAACGCAATTTATCGTTTCGTCAAACATTTGCGAACATTCACCTGTATTTCGGAAACTAAGTCGTTTAGGATGTTTACATGGACTTTTTTACTTGAAATAAACCAAAGAATCGCTCTGTTGAGTTTGGGAACATATTTAATACTGTATATCTACATTATTTATTCACCTATAGATGTTACCTTTATCCATCTTTCAATGTTTCACCTATTCACCTATTTACGTTTTTATTTGGCTATTTATGATATCTATCACCTATCTACGTTATCTATCTACTTATCTATATCATCTATTTACTTCCTGATAAAAAATTTTTTTAACATTAATACAGGGTCCATTATGAAAGTAATGCGCATGATTTTATTGTGACGCGACTATCCATCGCAGCGGGGTAAAATGGGTCGGAAAATGTGGTGGGGGGTCTGCCTTTCCAACGCAGCCGGTCGCTAGTTTGCTCCGAGCAGTCTGAGTGGAAAGACGTGCCTCCGCGTGAAGTGTGTTTTTCGACTTTGTAACGCGGCGCGATGGAGCGTTCGCTTGAACAGCGATACGCCATCAAGTTTTGCGTGCGGCTTGGAAAGAATGCAACCGAAACATTCCAGATGCTTCAAGAGGCCTTCAAGGACGACTGCATTTCAAGGTCACAGTCCGGGAGGTGGCACAAGGCGTTCAAGCAGGGCCGGGATGAGGTCGCCGACGAACCCCGTTCTGGACGCCCAACAACGGCCAGAACCGACGAAAACGTGAATCGTGTGTGCGAAGTTTTGCGTTCCGACCGTCGATTGAGCATCCAGCACATCGCTGACACCCTACACATGTCCACATTTATGGTACATGGGATAGTGACCGAGGATCTGCAAATGCGCAAGGTCTGCGCGAAGCTTGTGCCGAAAGTGTTGACGGAAGACCAGAAAGAACTTCGAATTTCGCGCTGTCAAGAATTGTTGGATTTGATTCAAAATGAGCCGGACTTTCTTAACTCTGTCGTAACCGGAGACGAATCTTGTTCGAGTACGACCCAGAATCGAAAAGGCAGAGCAGCGAGTGGCACACAAAATCATCCCCCCGCCCCAAGAAAGCGCGAATGAGCAAGTCTCGCATCAAAACGATGCTCATTGTCTTTTTTGACGTCCGAGGAATCGTCCATTTTGAGTTTGTACCGCAGGGAGAAACTGTCAACTCAGACTTGTACCTGGAGGTGCTCAAGAGATTGAAACGGCGGGTCGCGCGCGTGAGGGCTGACATCAAAGACACGGTCAAGCTCCACCATGACAATGCCCCCAGCCACATGGCCTTCATCGTTGCCAACTTCCTAGCCCGGAGCAACACCCCGGTGGTCCCCCAGCCCCCTTACAGTACCGACTTGGCTCCGTGCGACTTTTTTTGTTTCCTCTACTGAAGAGAGAGCTGACAGGAAAGCATTGGGAGTCCGTGGAAAACATCCAAAAGCATGTTACAACGTTCCTAAGAGACATTCCCGTCGAGGAGTTTCAGCGTGCCTTCCAGGTGTGGCAGACACGTCTCCGCAAGTGTATTGATGCAGGGGGAGAGTATTTTGAAGAATTTTGAGCATTTGTACCACTACGATCAATAAATCTATTTTTCCCAGAAAATGCGCATTACTTTTATAATGGACTCTGTATGTATAAATATATATATAAACATATATAAACACGCAGAAATATTCATAGTCATAAATAATTATACATGAAATATGTCCATATATCTTTCTTTCTTTTGTAAAATTACTTTTTAGTCAATTTTAGTGTACCAAAAATAATAATAATATTGAGAAAACATGAAAAATAGTTAATGGGACTATTTTCGCATTGTTTATTTTAGAAAAAATCAAGTTTGAAAAATGTAAAAAAATTTGCTCATACATAACTATACAGGGTGATTCAGACCACCCGTAGGAGTCGGCACGTACATATTCCTCATGGAAAACTGAGTCCAAAATGTCAATGGCAAAATGTTGTGTGGTCAATAGTTTTTAAATGGTGAGCCTTTGAAACTTTCCAATCACAGGACGTGAAGTCCGCGCCGTCAGGTGCGGCGCAACCAAGCGCTAGCTGTGCGAGCGCTTTGATGGATACCGCTAAACCGCACGATGCTGAATGAATATTGCAAAAGTTTTGAAATCTTGATTAACATCTACTGCTGTATGTTTAAATTGAGACTAATTTAATTGACGAGAAGTAATGTCGCAA